CAAAAAGAAAAAAGCCGGAAGTGGTGCTGTGGCTCAAGTGGTAGAGCGCTAGCCTTGAGCTGAAGAGCTGAGGGACAGCACCCAAGCCCAGAGTTTCAGGCCCCACGACTAGACACACACAAAAAAAGCAAGTGGGGATTGGGGGGGGCCAGGGGGCAGGACTCAGCCCTGGGGTTCTTGCTCTGGGTGCACAGCGAAGCCTGGGTTCTGACCGGCGAGTTGGGTGGGGCGTTCTCCACACGGGGCCCCAGGGGGAATGGCTGCCCCAGACACAAGGCCCGCTCAGCTCACCCGCTGCTTCTCCCTCCAGGCCTCGGTGGGGCCATCGGCTACGTGCTGGGTGGACTGGACTGGACACAGACCTTCCTGGGCAGCTGGTTCCGGACACAGAATCAGGTGCTCTTCTTCTTCGCCGCCATCATCTTCACAGTGTCGGTGGCCCTGCACCTCTTCAGCATCGAGGAGGAGCAGTACATCCCGCAGCAGGACCGCGGCGCCGCCGAGGCCCCCGCCCTGCCCGGAGCCCGGCTGGGCGGCACTCTGACCCCTGCCGCCCGCCTCAACTCCCTGGGTGGGGGCCTGCAGGACGGCAGCCCCCCGTTCCCAGACGAGGTGCAGTCCGAGCATGAGCTCTCCCTGGACTGCCTGGACGTGGACATCGTGCGCAGCAAGAGCGACTCGGTGCTGCACATGCCGGACCCCACGCTGGACATGGAGCCCGAGCTGCCCTTCCTGCACGACATCGAGCCCTCCATCTTCCATGACGCCTCCTACCCCAGCACCCCCCGCAGCACCAGCCAGGAGCTCCTGAGGGCCAAGCTGCCCCGCCTGTCCACGTTCCTCAGGGAGGCCAGGGAGGAGGACACGCTGCTGGACAGTCACTTGAATGAAGCTAAAGTCCCCAACGGGAGCGGCGTTCCGCAGAGGCCGGCCCTCAGCAGCCACAGCCGGGTGGCCGCCAAGCCCTCAGCCACCTGTGGCTCCGTGAGGCGGCGCAGGCACACATTCCGCCGGCAAGCTTCCAGCACCTTCTCCTACTACGGCAAGATCGGCTCCCACTGCTACCGCTACCGGCGGGCCAACGCGGTGGTGCTCATCAAGCCGTCCCGCAGCATGAGCGACCTGTACGACCTGCAGCAGCGCCAGCGCCAGCGCTGCCGGCGCCGCCACCAGAGCGGGGCCACCACCTCCAGCGGGGACACGGAGAGCGAGGAGGGCGAGGGCGAGACCACCGTGCGCCTGCTGTGGCTGTCCATGCTCAAGATGCCCCGCGAGCTGACGCGCCTCTGCCTCTGCCACCTGCTCACCTGGTTCTCCGTCATCGCCGAGGCCGTCTTCTACACCGACTTCATGGGCCAGGTCATCTTCGAGGGGGACCCCAAGGTGAGCACGCAGGGCCAGGGCGGCGGTGGCGGGGCCCCGCGGCAGAGGAGACTGGCAGCACCAGGGCCTTCGCAGCTGGAGCCTCTCTAGAGCCCCCCACCACAGGGCACCCCACTCCACAGCCTCCGTACACCCCAGGACACCCACTCCACAGCCTCCATACACCCCAGGACACCCGCATCACAGCCTCCATACACCCCAAGACACCCACATCACAGCTTCCATACACCCCAGGACACCCGCTCCACAGCCTCCATACACCCCAGGACACCCGCTCCACAGCCTCCATACACCCCAGGACACCCACATCACAGC